CCGTGTTTGGTAAAGTCACCTACCCACGGCCAATGAGGAGCATCTGACTCATATTGAGCCTACATGGGGTTTCTAAGACTATAAAACTCTATGCCATCAGCAAACCTCAACTTTCTCCAGAGTGGCTGGTGGGTTTGAGCTGCTGACCTTGCAGTTAGCAGTCCAATGCTTACCTGACAGTGCCACCAGGACTCTGTTGGTAAAGAGTCAGCAAAAATAAAGAAAACTCTCAATGAGATGGATCGACACTAGCCCCAATCGACCCAAGTAGAAAACACATTGTGACGATGGCACAGTATCAGATATCATTTCATTTCCCCACATAAGTTTCCATAAGTCGGAGCCAACTGACAATAACTAACAAGAATTCATTTCTTGGACTGGAATTTCACAAAACAAGAGATGTTCTAAATAAGTGGACATATTATTTAACCTGAGCAGATTCAGTGTTTTCCTTTGTAAAATTCAGTGAAGAAATACTCTCTTCAAAGGGTAGTTGCGAACATAAAATGAAACACTTAAAAATATGTAAGATTGCCTGGCTTAGCATTTTATATTGAAAACAAAACCATAAACCAAACCATGGCCGTAGAGTAGGTCCTGATGCCCGGTGACCTTACAGGACAAGGTAGAGCTTCCCCAGCGTTTTCAAGGCAGTAATCTTTACAGAAGTAGACTGCCTCGTCTTTCTCCCAGGGGCTGGGATCTGCAAAACACTGGCCTTTAGCAGTGAATGGCCAGTGCATTAGCGGTTAGCAGCTGAATGGCCACCAAGACATTTTATAGGATCAACAACTCATCTCTAAATCTACAGCCTAATTGATGTTTAAAAGAATGGGTAGAAATCTGCTTCCCAGGACTCCGCTATTGCAAACCGTATGGAGCGCTGCCTCCTGCAATGCACACGGAGTTGGCGTGAGTAGGGACTGGCTCTCCAGCAACTGGAACACTATTGAAGTATTCGGAAAAGAAATAACAAACAGCCTGTGACATGTTTGTCTTAAGTTAGATAGGGTTTGCTGAAAGGGGGAACTTCTGCTCTAATATAATAATGTATCAAATGATATGTTAGTGACTGAGGATTTGCTGAAGGTTTCAAAGCGCTGAAAAACTAAGGGGAGGATTGTAGGCGGCCGAGATGACTCTAGTCGTGCCTCGACTTGTTCTCAGAGTTTAGGATCTAGTCTCTCTCATTGGAATATAGATGTTCCACTCTGGGAGGTTCCTGGAATTAAAGAGAGTATTATGTTCTTGCTTCTTTGGGTAACCTTTTCTTAGCTTCTTAGTTGAATTTCATTATTTCCAAAGATTGGACCCAGAAAACTTATGTGAGAAGGAAATATTTTCTGTTTATGACGACTATCTAGCAAGAAGAAAAATGAGAAATAGTGGCCAAGTAGATCAATATCAGATGAGCAAAATTAATTGTACTTGTTACTATAGAAAACTTTCATAAACAAAGTTAGCTTAGCACCTGTGTCTTGCTCTTCTCATTGACTGTTAAGAAATAAATATGTAAATAAAATGCCTGCTCAAATTTCATTAGCTCATAGTATCAGAGTAGCCATGGAAAGATCTCACAGGTATGATCTCGCCTATGATCAATGGGTCCTGAAATAACTGTAGAAGCAGGTTTCCAGGAAACTGTTTGCTAATGTTTGCCATTCTTTAATCTCAAGAAATAGGGTGAGGGTTCAGGAACAATTCGAACTGCTTAGAGCTTACAATGCTGCACTGCCTATTCTTTCTGCCCATGCATCATGGTGATGGTGTTGCGATGTTTATTTTAGGCAAAGGGATTTGACTGTGTGGACCACAGCAAATTATGGGTCACATTACAAAGAATGGAAATTCTATAACATTTCATTGTGCTCACGGGGAACCGGTTCAAAACCAAGAGCCAGTTGTTTGAACAGAACATGAAGATCCAGAATGGTTTACAATTGGGAATGGTGTAATTCAGGGCTGGGTATTTTCTTTTCTTCTTTCTTTCTTTCTTTTTTTAATCATCTTTTAAAGATCATTTTATTGGGGGCTCATACAATTTTAAAAAATCAATTTATTTGGGACTCGTACAACTCTTATCACAATCCATACATATATCCATTGTGTCAAGCACAGTCGTACATTTGTTGCCATCATAATTCTCAAAACATTTGCTTTCTACTTGAGCCCTTGGTATCAGCTTCTCATTTTTCCCCTCCCTCCCCACCCCTTCCTTCACGAACCTTTGATAATTTATAAATTATTATTATTTTGTCATATCTCACAGTGTCTGATGTCTCCTTTCACCCATTTTTCTGTTGTCCATCCCCCAGCAAGGGGGTTATATGGAGATCCTTGTGATCAGTTCCCCCTTTCTACCCCACCATGCCTCCACCCTCCCAGTATCGCCACTCACACCACTGGTCCTGAAGGGATCGTCCGTCCTGGATTCCCTGTGTTTCCAGTACACCTACCAGTGTACATCCTCTGGTCTAGCCAGATTTGTAAGGTAGAATTGGGATCAGGGAGGGGAGGGGAGGAAGTTTTTGAGAACTAGAGGAAAGTTGTATGTTTCATCATTGCTACACTGTACAGGGTTGGATATTTTCATCAGACTTGTTCAATCTGTACACTGAGCAAATGATCCCAAAGTGGACCATATGAAGAATGTGGTGGCAGGGCTGGAGGAAGGCTCATTAACAACGTGGTAGGTGATGGAACTTTGCTTGTAGAAAACCAAGAGGACACGAAGCACACACTGATGAAAATAAAAGATTACAGCCTTCAATACGAATTACATCTCAGCATCAAAGAAGTAAAAGTGGACCCATAAGAAACATGATGATCACTGGAGAAAAGATTGGAGTTGTCAAAGATTTCATTTTACTTGAATCCACAATCAATGCTCAAAAAAGCTGTCAAAAAATTAAATGATGTATTTCACTTGGAAAATCTGCTACAAGAGACATTTTTAAAGTTTAAAAAAACAAAGGATGCCACTTTGAAAACTAAGGTGAGCCTGACCCAAACTCTGGTATTTCTGATCATTTCATATATATATGAAGGCTGGACAGTGAATAAGGAGTATCAGGAGACTGACACATTTGAGTTATGGTGTTGGGCAAGAATCTTGAAAATACCATGGACTGCCAGAAGAACAAGCAAATCTGTTTGGGAAGAAGTTCAGCCTGAAAGCTCCTCAGACCCAAGAATGGAGAGACCAACCAGTCCTTGGAAAAGAGCATCATGCATGGTGAAGTGGAAGGTCAACAAAGAGCTGAGGTCCTGCAACAGAATAGATTGACACGCGGGCTGTCGCAATGGGTTCAAGCATAGTAACAGTTGCGAAGAGAACACAGGATTGAGCAGTGCTTCATTCTGTTGTTCGCAGGATCCCTATGAGCCTTCACGGAATTGACAGCACCTCACAACAGTGCTTACTCTATTGGGGGAGGGGGGGTTATGCTGGCCACCAGAAGAGCCAGCTTTCAGTCATTCGTGGTTTAGATCATGTGACCCTACCTTGCCACAGCCGACTGTACCAAGAAGAGATCTGGATTACGTATGACTTAGTACATTGAAGAGCAGGGTCATTCACACACACACACACACACACACACACACACTCACACACACTCACACACACCCCACCTCTGGAATTTGAACGAGTCTAAACTGAATGATAAGGATGGAGATTTGGTGCTGAAGAGGGCACGTCAGCCATGTCCAAGCCCAGTTATGCATTAACTAAAGATACAGCACGTCAAACCTGCTGGTTGCCGGCCAGAATAAAGCAGACACAGGTGTAGCTCAGTTCACTAAGCTATAACCTCCTTGAAGACAGAAACAATAGCTGTTCTGTCTATTATTGTTTCTCCAACACGTAGCAATCGTTTCTGGCTATTAAAAAGTAATTCACTCAACGTGCATCAATTGGCTAGCGAATGACTCAGCGGTGGGTCATAAAAGTGAAAATTCCTGAACTCCTGGTGTTTGTTGGGCAAGCCCTAAAGTGACCTTTCCACCCAGAAACACTGTCCAGTTCCTGGCATTGGAAACCTACATTTGCCAATGAAGGAGACTCCTTCTTCACCGTATGCATTGCCCTTGACCCTTTAATACTTCCTTTTTTGAGGCCCTTTGTTTGGCACCTTGATCCTTACAAACAAAAGTTTCAAAACTGGCTTTAAGCAAGAGCTACAGAAAGAGGAAAAGAGAAAATGACAAAGAGGGGAGAAGCAGGAGAGAGAGCAAGACTGCACTTGTTTCTTAGAGGCGTCGCCTCTCCACTGAGGCGTAGGGCAGACTCACAGCAGGCTCCCTACAGAAAGGGGTAGACCTTGGGCATGGAACAAAGACTAACACATTGCAGCAGACATTATTCTGGCAAATTCATCTTTAAGCTTTTTCATTGGCATAGTCTGACTATAAAAAACAAAACCGCCTGGTGACGATCTCTGGTAATTTGTTTGTCTGTACGGTGTTGAATGAGAGTAATTAGATGCCCAATCTCCTGGGTGAGAACAAAGTGCCCTGGGTGGTTAGTCTAGTGAATAAAGACATTCAAAGAAATACTCTATCCTCCCCCAAACTCATGATTCCCTTATTTATTATTACTGAGATACACCCACTCCTGATTCTTCAAAATATCTAAACACTTGATTGTTATTGTTTATGATTGATTATTACTCTCTTTCATGTGTGAACAACTCAGGAATGATAGGAAGTAATGCTACTCCAGCAAATTTTGCTTTTAGGAAACAATACAGTCTCCATGGTAGTAAATATCTTTAAAGGTCAGGTTCATCCTTAGTCAACTGACATTCAGGATCATGGAAAGCCTATCCTTTGGTGAAATATTACGCTGTACCAAGCTGACGTTCCGTATTAGCGGAAACACTAGGGGGTCACTATTGTCCTCATCTTGCCTCTAGGGGTCATATGCTCAGGATGCTCTTACAGGTCAAGAGCAATACATTACCATTTCCATGGAGAGAAAGAATAAAAATACTTACTTGGTCCTAGGCCAATTGAAAAAGCAGCAACATAAACAAGCAAGCTGGCCAAAGAGAGCCACTTCCAAAACGCTGGGACTTCCCCCGGGTCTGGGACTTGGTTTCCAGTTTGGCTTAGTCCAGCATTTGGAAAGGATTCCCAAGTCAGCTCCCCTTTCTTGTCATTTCTCATGGGCAGTAGGGAGCTCCTGCTATGAGGAGTGACCCCTGTAAAGGGCTCTCTGAAGCTGTTGTGGTCCGCTGAGAGGTTTCTTACTCCATAAAATGCAGACTCTTCCAAGGACTGGTTGGTAGGCCCATGGCTCCTGCAGATATTGGTGAAGTTCACGTGAATGTTGAGATTCACGATGCCCATAGTCATCAACGAAGCTGCCATCACGGAGGAGCCTATGCAGAGGAAGGTTTTACTCCCGATGTGGTCTACAAGCAGAGTGGCTGGGATGGTGCTAATGACCTTGACCACCCCAACCCCAGTAGAGGCAAGGCTCGCTGCCTCGTTACTTTGAAAACCAACAGACTTCAAAACAGTTGATGCATAGAATAGTATGTTTGGCTGCCCCGTGATCTGCACAAAAAACACCAATGTCAAGCCTATCATTATCCGGGTCCTCATGTTGTCCTTGGAACGAAACAGATCCCCAAAACTATACTGATATTCATCTTTCAGGGAAGATTTTATCACAGTGAGTTCCTCGGTTGGGTCGGAGATTGCTCGTAATCTTCCGAGAACCTTGCCAGCAGCTTCTTCTTTTCCTTTCATCACCAGGAACCGAGGGCTTGGAGGGAGAAAATACATGGCAATCGCTTGCAAGACTCCCAAGGGAATAACAAGACCGAACATATACTTCCAGCCATGGGAGACATTGGCAAATGCGTAATTTGAAATATAGGCAAAAAGAATACCAATGACAATCATGAGTTCATTCAGGGACACCAGGAGGCCCCTTCTGTGCTGGGGGGCAATCTCTGCGATGTAAACACAAGTGGCGATTGAAGAGAGGGAGATGGAGATGCCCAGAGCAATTCGTCCCACGACGAGAACCGGGTAGGACAAGTAGAGGATCAGGATGCAGCTTCCCAGCCCCAGGAGGCAGGATGACAGGATAATGGCAAGCCTTCTTCCATACCTGTCGATCAGGATCCCGCCGCAGAGAGAAGCCAGGAAGGCCCCGATGAGCAGGGCGCTCACCACCATCTCCTGCTCATGGCAGCCCAGGGCTAGTTCGGCTCTGATCTGCAGCAGGGCTCCGGAGATGATCCCGAGCTCATAGCCCACCAGAAGACCGCTGACAGCCGCAGTCACAGACGACAGGAAAGTGAACATGCTGCACCCTGCGGGCAGAGAGGAGAAGGAGAGGTCAGCTCTGGGTTGGTCTCTTAGACATTCTTCCTCTTGTCTGAGACTCAGCTGCATGCAGGTCTTCGTGGTGCTGAGATTCCACGCGTGCGGGCGCACACACCCACAGTCATAAGCTAATCGTGAAAGTGATGAGATATAGGGAGAAACATTATGTGTCTTGTTTTGTGGAGAAAGGCGAGGGGAGACACTTAGGAAGTCTAGTGTCCTAATGCTGATGGCAACGCTGTTTTCACTGTACAGCAGTTCTACCCAAGATAAGCCTATAGGCTGAACAGGGAACCAGTAAGAACACCATTTAGGTTATGGCTGGGAACTGGAGAACAAGTTCAAGCAGCCCAGCTCTTGGGCAGCACAAAGAGAGTAGGAGCTTCAGGAAATACTTTAATAGTCTTCACAGTAGAAACCAATGGCTGTGGCTTCCAACCCATGGTGACTTTATGTGTGTCAAAGGATAACTGTCCTCCACAGGGGGGTGGAGGCCGTGTATGTGCATGGGTGTGTGGGGGTGGGGGGCAGCGGGGAGGGCAGGGAGGCACGCAGCAGTTTCCCAAGTCTTCCTTCCAAAGTGCTCCTTCCGGCTAAAACAACCTTCAATCTGTCCGTTAGAAATTAGCATTAGCATGCTAACCACCAACCCCAAGGGCCCGCAAAAAAGACTTTCTCCGAAGAAAGGGGCTGAAGAAAGGAGGCTGTGATTGCCTTCATCCATATCAGGAAGAAATAAGAACTTTAGATTATTCTACATGTTTATATTAAAATCTGGGGGGAAAGCAGAATGGGAACAGTTGCAGAGTTCTGGTGGTGGGTACATAGGTGTTTGTTTCATTATATGTTTGAAACATGTCAAACGATCAACAAAACCAAACAGGAAAGTAGCAGAGGTAGAGATTTCAGGCACCCAAATGGAACACAAGAAAACAAACTTCAAGCCAATGCCTGTTCTCAGTGACCTGATGAAACAGGCTAGAACTGGCCCTGTGAGTTTCTGGAAAACTGTTTACAGGAGGAGAAAGCCCTGTCCTTCTCTCATGGAGTGTGGTTTCAAACTGCTGACCTTTAGGACTGCAGCCCAATGCAAAACCATTAGGATAACAGGGCTCCTATCTCAGGCACAGGAAACAGCCATTACAAAGCCTTTGGAGAAATAAGCTCTCATCGTGCTTTAGAAGCTGTTAGATGGCTGGGAGATGGGGGGAGGGGCACAAAGCAGACTTGGAGAGGGAGGTAGGAGATGACATAAAATGGCTTTGTATAGGGAAGGAGGGGAAACATGCAGGTCATGGTAGCAACCTTGTATTGCGCCTCACTATGATAACCGAGTGCATACTCACTGCCCAGGACAGGAGGCATCGCTACTATGGGGTTCTTGTCTTTTAAGGTTATTATTGCTGCTGTTTTATTGTTATCCAGGAGATGACCAGGACCAGGCAATGCCTCATTTTCATATATATAAAGTCACCATGTGTTGGTGCTGATTTTGATAGCAACTAACAACAACAACAACAACAACAACGCTGTTTCATTCACTGTCAGTTTATCACTCTGTGGTGACTTGTGTATTGCTGTGATGCTGGAAGCTGTGCTATCAATCTTTCAAATAGCAGCAAAATCACTTATGGGGACTAGGTTTCAGTAAATTTCCAAACTGCAGCTGACTTGGAAGAACGTCCTCATCATCTACTTCTCAAAATTAGCCAATGAAAACATTATGGGTCCCAACAGAACATTATCCAACTTGCTTACTGAGGACGCACCATCAGAGTGATCAGTCACTAGGGCATCGTGCTTGGTGAGGAAGGCCAATGAGGGCACGAGAGACCTTCAGTGAGAAGAATGGGTACAATAGTGGTGAGAATGGACGGGAACATGCTGACAGGTCTGTGGACAAAGTGGAAGCAAGCAACATTTCCTTCTGTTGTACATTAATTAGATGGCCATGGGTTGGACCCAGCCCCTCAGTAGCTAACAACAATAATTGCTGCTGTGTGGACGCTGTTTCTTTGAATGGCAACATTAGTAGGAAGGAGGAGCTTGTTGTCTTAGTTTTGATGAGACAATGTAACTTGTACCTGATTGCTAGGAGTGGACAGAGTCAAGATTTTATCTGCAGATCCAACTCAATACACTTTCTCATGAATTAGATGTGGTGGGGAAGGAAGTGGATTAGAACTTTGAATGGTAATTTTATGCAGCAACTTGGCTAGACGGTGGTGCCACGTTAGGGGCAAACACTAGTCTAGATGTTGCTGATATATTTACATGCAATTGGCATTGATATCAAGTGAAGCAGTTTATTGCCCATTATGTGAGTGCACCTCACCCAGTTCATTGAAGGCCGTGAAAGGTAAACCCAAAGCTTTCCAGAGAGAATTCTGCCTTGAGACTCTAGGTACTCCCAGAATTCCTCTCCCCTCCCCACCTGCCACCTGTTGAATGGAGACATAGAGCCTGCCAGAATGTCCAGCCTGTGGTCTGACCGATGGAGTTCATACTCCACAATCGCATGAGCCAATTCTGTAAGATAAATCAATCTCTCTCATATATACACAAATTTGGGGCTTAAAGGGGTAGGCTGGAACCATATGTATGGAAATTAGCAGCATGTATTTGATATTTAAAACCATGGGGATGGACCCAACAGGGGGAGGGGGGAAACTGTAAAACTGAAACAGACCTACAAGATGCCAACATTTAGAAGAGGAGGGGTCAGCAAAGGAGATGGAGAAGAACCAGAGCAGAAACATGTGCAAGATAGCAACCTGTCCGTGGGTACACAGTGAAGATGTGCTGAGCTAAGGCTGCTGAGCTCTCTCTGTTATTGTTGTCATTCATTCTGTTGCACTGGCTCTGATCATGAAGACCTCATGTGTAACAGAACACGCCATCGCCTGATCCTGTGCCACATCCCTGATCGGGCACATAGGGAATCCAGAGGTTTCCACTGGCCAACTTGCAAAACTGGTTTGTCAAGTATTTTTTCCTAGTCTGTCTTGATCAGGAAGCTCCATTAAACCCTGTCCACCTCGAGGGACCCCTCCTGATATTTGCAATACCCAGAGCACAACTTCTAGTACCATCGCAACACGGAATCCACTAGAGTTTGGCAAACTGATAGATAAGGGGTGGAGCCCATTTTTGCAGTTCACTCGCCGCCATGGAGTGGATGCTGACTCACAGCAACCCTATAGGACTGGGTAGAACTGCCCATGGAAGTTTCCGAGACTGTAGCTCTTTACAGGAGTAGGAAGCCCAGTCTTTCTCCTGTGCAGTGGCTGGTGGTTCAAACTGCTGACCTTGAGGATCTCAGCCCAATGCATAATTGCCATGCCCCCAGGGCTGGGGGGTTTAAAACTGCCTATTCGGCTATTGTGAGATGAGCAGGTCAAATAAAGGTGATCTAAATCTCCTTCTACACCAAGTACCTAAGCATTTTCACCTCTGAGCTCCTGTTGGAAGCCGAGAAGTGGGGGGTGGGAGACTCCAAAACACAAATTTAAGAAGGGAAAGGAGCCATTTGATATTCAGAGGGTGGAGCAAATAAAAAATGTAAATAATTTACAAAGAATAAGCCTCACTTATAACATTGCAAGCAAAAACTACTGACATTAAGATGGTAATATATCTGCTCTTTCTTTTACTTAATGAGGAACATAAACTTTTACCATCATAATATGCTAGGTACTGTTGGGTGAGTATTGGACTGCTAGCTGCCAGGGTGGCAGTTCTAATTCCCCAGCGGCTCCAAGGTAGAAAGATAAGGTTATTAACTCTGGTAAAGATTTATGGACGAGGCTGCTAACTGCAAGGTCAGCAGTTAGAAACCACCTGCTTTCCACTCCAATGAAGAGGTACAGTCTCAGAAGCCTATGGGGCAGTCCTACCCTGCCTCCCAGGGTCACCATGAGTCGGAATCAACTCAATGACAGTGAGTTGGGTGATACATTCAAATAGACTTGTGGCAGTGAGCTTGGCTTGGCTGTATATGCCGGGCACTTTTCTGGGCACTAAAGATAGATAGATGATAGATAGGTAGATAGATAGATAGATGATAGATAGATAGATAGATAGATAGATAGATAGATAGATAGATAAGATAGATAGATAAGATAGATAGATGATAGAGAGATAAAGAGATATAAAGATAGGTAAGCAGAAATGAACAAAACAGACATGGATTCTGCCCTCAAGAAAAGTAATATTCTGGTAATCTATCTATTATCCATTATTTATTTTATAGTGCTTTATTCTTTTCTAGTGTAAAAATGATTTTAAAATATTTTCTTATAGGTTCATTCATATTTCCATATTCCATATACTCCTCCCTGCTCCCATATGATCATATAACCTTTAATAAGAAAGTCCCTCACCTTAAGAAAAATTAGACCAAACTCTCACAATCAGATGTAGCCAATCCAAACTCACTGCCATCTAGTCCATGCTGACTCACAGCGACCCCCTGTGGGTTTCTAACTGTTTACAGGACTAGAAAAGCCAGTCTTTCTCCCCGTGAGGTGCTAGTGGTTTCAAACTGCCGACTACATGGATGGTACAGCCCAGCGCATGACCACTGTGCGACAAGGGCTCCTACAATGGATGTAGAATGTAATATTTCTCTTTATTGCTCCTCTTGGCTCATCTTATTCAAGCTTAATATGTTAATCAACAAGTATGTTTTGGCCATTTCCAAATGGCCTCCATTTTCCAGCTGGAGAAATCAATGATTTTGTCTCATGAAACACTTCAGAGGGCTGAGAGGGGACAAAGTGAAGCTTAAGATGTGCACCTTTAAAAGTGTGAAATGGACCCTCCCCATCCTGTGACCCTAGTCATCATGTCAGGAGCCTTGTTGGTATCGAGGGTGACACGTTACCCTGCTAACCCTTGAAGTTAGCGGTACGATATCACACTCTGGAGGAGGAAGATGAGGCATCTACTCTCAAGAAAATGTACAGCCTCGGAAATCCCAGGGGCC